TAGGTAGGTATATTGTTATTAACTTAATTAGGGTACTCCTAAGCTGGCCTTTGCTAAAAACGTCCTCAATCTGATTGAGGTACGTTTGCTGAGATGGATCCCTTCTAACTCTCCCATCCACACTCGTCTTGTATACTTGTTTCGTCTATCTCCTTTCTGAAAACTGACTTCTGCGCATGGGCCACGAAGTTTCAATTGCAGTGTACGTGCGCGCACGCATGTATTTTGTGGAAGAGCCACACTCAATGGGCCAAAGAGTAGCATGTGGCTCGCGAGCCGTAGTTTGCCAACCACTGTCCTAGTCTATAAGCACTGGCTTTGACTGGGAAAGACTTTCACCAATCATTCCAGCTAGAGATTTTGGGGGCCCGTGGTTGTATTTTCTCTGGACTTGTATTTATAGATTTGTAATTAGAGGGATTTGTTGGTTTCTTTTTCCAGGCCCTCGTTATCAGGAGGAAAGCCTTAAATTGTGTGTCTCCTCCCAATTGTGCAAAGCCATGTTAAGTGTATCAACACACCAACTGCTTTTCCTTTGTTCTTAGCTGCCAATAGGCATCCAATTTTTTCTGGTTTCATCAGTACTAATTAGTGAGCTGAGACAGAAACCAGTACTTTATATAGTTCTCTGTGATTCTGGAATATTGTATACACTAGAGGACCGGTGCATGAATTTGTGCACCAGTGGGGTCCCTAAGCCTGGCCTGCGGGATCGGGCCAAAATTGGCTCTCCAACATCCCCTGAAGGGTCCCAGATTGTGAGAGGGCACAGGCCAGTCCAAGGGACCCCACCGGTGCACGATTGGGGCTGGGGAGGGACATGGGAGGTTGGCCAGGTGGGGAGGGACTGCAGGAGGACTCCAGAGCATGTTTGGCCTATGTTGCTTAGTCCCGATTGGCCGGACCCAGCAGCAAGCTAACTTACCAGTTGGAGCTCTGCCCCTGGTGGTCAGTGCACATCCTAGCAACTGGTCAACCGGTTGACTGTCTGCACGTCATAGCGAGCGGTTGAGCAGCCTTAGCATATCATTAGCATATTACTTTTTGATTGGTTGATCGGCCAACTGGACACTTAGCATATTAGTCTTTTATTATATAGGATGCTTCACTCTCTTTTTTCACCTGCTGGAGAAGTTGTAGGATAGGATGATTTTTCTTGGTGTTGAGCTCTGCCAGCTTAGGGGAGGGGTTTATGTAAAGTGAAATTGTTCTTTTTACCTTTTTCAGTGCAACTGTTCTGACTTTGTTATTGTCTAGGGCACTGTAGCATCTTAACTGGGATGTGGAATTCTCATAAAGGTATTTTGGTCCATGTATCATTGTTAACAGTATTTCCTTGGGAGAAAAAGTGCTGAGATTTCCTTTTCTGATATCTTGTGATGTCACTCCTTTAACTTTTTAAAGTGTGACATATTTGCAGAAAAATGCAAATATCATGTATACAGCTTGATGACTTTTTTTTACAAAGTGACCAGACCCATGTGAATTTGTATCCATAATGCCATCATATTCAAAAGACAATTTAGTTGCATATAAAAGTCTGTTAGACATTCTTTTCCCTTTAAGGCTTTGAAAATCTTACTCCATTGTCTTTTTGCATCAGTCAAACTTGTTGAAAAGTCTGATTTCAATCTGATTCTTTTTACTTTATTTGTTCTTTCTAGCGTCTTATAGAATTTATTCTTATACTTTGCTATTTCTAAGTGAATATGTCTAGATAACACTTTTGATGGTGCCACTAGGATGGCAATTCACCTGGCAGCTGATATGCATCTTTTGTTTTCTTTCTTTTTTTAAAAAAAATATATTTTATTAATTTTTCACAGAGAGGAAGGGAGAGGGATAGAGAGTTAGAAACATCGATGAGAGAGAAACATCGATCAGCTGCCTCCTGCACACTCCCTACTGGCAACCAAGGTACATGCCCTTGACCAGAATCGAACCTGGGACCCTTGAGTCCGCAGGCCGATGCTCTATCGATTGAGCCAAACAGGTTAGGGCAGCCATTCTTTATTTTTAACATCACAATTGCATTGATGATTTTGCCACAAATTAAACAATATCACATGTGCCATGTTAACAACAGCAAAATTAACCAGATATTCAAGGGTGTCAATCGGGAAGGTGACGACAGTACCAGTAAGCTCACTAGCGCCAGTACTGTTACTGATATTATTAATATCAATAATGTTAGGAACAAGCATCTTCATTCTACCACTTCCTGGCTATATTAACTTGAGCAAGGCAGCCTCTCTGAGCCTCTGTATCTAGTCTGTAAAATGGGAATAATAATAATAACAATTATAAATACCTGTAGGGTTGTAGTGAGCATGAAATGAGATAATGTAGTGTTGAGCAGGAGGCCAGCCAAATAGTGAGTACTTCTTGAACGATTCTTGCTAAAAATTAGTATAGGCCTTTCTAATCCACATTGTAATGCAAAAATATTTAGCAAAAGAAAACCACAATGAAAATATGAAAAGTGAATAAAATACTAACTGTCCTGCCCTTCAATGAGTCTGTTATTTTGTTCTGGGCTAAGTGTCTTCAGTGATGAACTAAAATTGAAGTTTATTTTTTAGGTGGATGAGAGAGGGCAGTCAAGATATATCTTACCATTACATTTGTCTTTCTGTGATATTTATGCCTGCATCTGTCAGTTTTAGATTATAAACTTCTAAAGCATAAAGGATCATGTATTTACATTTTTGGTTGATTACAGTGGGTAAGATAAAACCCTTTTTGTATTACAAAAGTGAATCCTAATTTAAGATTGTTATGGTAATTTAGAGCAAAGTTGATTTACTCTTGAAACATTCTCAAGTGACTTTAAGGTCTAGTTGCTTCTCTTAAAGGCATTTACAAAAAACCCAGTTTTTAAAATGCTTCTAAGAGAGGTATCGGTTTTTTCCCTGGAATTATGTGAAAATACGTTTTAGCTATTTTATGCGTTATAGTCATAAGGAATTTTCAAAGCGCGGTTGCAAAGAATATTGATATTTTTAGAAAAAATGGGTAGATTTTCAGGGCTCAGATACATAAATGATATAAGTGAGAGGCAGTCAAATTAATGCATTTTTTGTGTATGTTTGAGAGGGTGCGATATCCTTTGAAAGGGTTATGTTTTTCATTTGAAAAGCTAATGCAATTATTTTTGGCAATAATTGTTTTACCAGAAATACATTTGGATTTTATATCATGTCTCTGTTTATGATGCGAGGAGATAATCGAATAGAGGTTAACAACCTTCTCAGTTTGAGTGCTATTAACAGTACTGAAATGACAAAAAATAGGTGGATACATTCAGATGTCCAATAGACATATGAAAAAATGCTCAACATCAGTAATCATCTGAGAGATGCAAATTAAACATCAATGAGATAGTACCTCACATCTGTCACAATGGTTATCATCAATAAATCAACAAACAGCAAGTTCTTGGGAGGATGTCAAAAAAAGGGAACCCTCGTGCACTGTTGGTGGGAATGCAGACTGGCACAGCCACTATGTAAAACATTATGGAATTTTCTCATAAAATTAAAAATAGAACTACCATTTGACCCAGCGATTCTATTCTGGGACTATATACTCAGAATCCTGAAACATCAATCGGAAAGAATATATGTACCCTGTGTAAATAGCCCAAGCAATGGTAGGTACATTTACACAATGGAATACTACCTGGTTGTAAAAGAAAACGGAACTCTTACCTTTTTGTGATAGCATGGGTGGACCTGGATATTATTAGGGGTAAGTAAAGTAGGCCAGTAAGAGAAAGACAAATACCATATGATCTCACTTATATGTAGAATCTAATGAACAAAATAAACTGATGAACAAAATAGTATCAGAGGCATGGAAACAAAGGCACTGGATGAAAGAAGTTGAAGAGATTAGCCAAAAAACATATATGCCTAACCCATAGACACAGGTAAGAGTGTGGTGATGGCCAGATGGAAGGGGATCAGGGAATGGGGACATCTGTAATAGTGTCAACAATAAAAATAAATTAAGGCAGATAGAAGAGAAAGAGAAATCTACCAGTACATGAAAAGATAATTTTTATTTCCTTAACCTGAGCAGTAGTAATCTTAAGGCCTTTAAAAATTATAAAAGACAAGATGTTTGTGTATTTTCAGGGCTAGTTGGAATATTTGTAGATAGCTCAATTTTATAAGCTAATCCAACAAGCATTGAAATCTACCCTGCCCATATGCAGAACACTGTGGTATGTTCCATGGGAGATATAAAAATAAAACAGACTGTCCCTAATATTAAGAAACTAGAGGCCCGGTGTACAAAATTCATGCATGGGTGTGTGTGTGTCCCTTCGCCTGACCTGCACCCTCTCCAGTGTGGGAGCCCTCAGGGAATGTCCTACTGATGGCTTAGGCCCACTCCCCGTGGTTCTCTGCTCTCTGCGGGGCCTGCCTGCTCCACACCACAGTGACTACCAAGCAGGCCATGCTGCGTGGTGCCTGCAGGTGGCGCTTGCTTGCTCCCAGGTTGCCGCAGCGATGGCCAAGCAGGCCGTGCAGTGCTGGGAGCTGTCTCCTCCCTGCCGTCAGTCTCTGCCAGGGTCCAGCCCCAGTGGTCCAGGGGTTCCCAAAGGTGTGGACAGAGTTGGCGAAGAATGTTTTACACGGAGACAGCGTTCCCCCTGGACCGCTGGGGCTGGACCCCGGCAAGTTCCCACGGAGGCGCCGAGGTTAATTTGCACACTCAAGCTGGATTGGCTGGTGGGCATCACAAAGGTATGGTCAATTTGCATCTTTCTCTTTTATTAGTGTGGGTTTACCATGTAATAGGAGAGACAACACATCTGTGCTAGTTACTATAACATAAGATGGACAGTGAAGTATTAAAAAATACTTTGTTTCTAAATGTTTATATTTCAAGCAAACTAAGAAAAATAATCAGTCTGTAAAATCAACTATATTAAATTATAAAGGAAAACTGTACAGACATGGAAAGCAATAATTAACTGTATAATATGCTCGGTATCATTTTCAACTAGGCTCTCCAAGCATGGCCGCTGATAGAAAAGAGGACATGTTGGCATGGTCACGCAGGAGGAGGACTCCACACAGACCCGAAAGAAGGGGTAAGAGCAAGTAACAAGTAAATGGAAATTCTTATAGATGACTGTGTTTGGATAGAAAGTATGTCAAAGATTATCATATTCCAGAATATTTTGATTTTGGTTTTCTTTTTTTTTTAAATTATCTTTTTTTTTGTTAGTTTATTATCTTAAGCTTTACATATGTCTCCTTTTTCCCAAACTGACCCCCCCCCCAAACCGTTCCCACCAGGGCAGGCCCCAACCGCCTTAGAGTCTGTGTCCATTGATTATGCCAGTGGATCTCAACCTTCTGGCCCTTTAAATACAGTTCCTTATGTTGTGACCCAACCATAAAATTATTTTTGTTGCTACTTCATAACTTTAATGTTGCTACTGTTATGAATCATAATGTAAATATCTGATATGCAGGATGGTCTTAGGCGACCCCTGTGAAAGGGTCGTTTGACCGTCAAAGTGGTTGTGACCCAAAGGTTGAGAACCACTGGATTATGCTAACATGCATGCATACAAGTCCTTTGGTTGCTCTCAAAACCCCCCACCTCCCCTGCCATCTATT